TGAAACTGATCAGTTTCAGCAGCGGCTGAATCTGGATGCCAGTTCCGACTTACATACAGATTCAACTTAAGAACAAACCTACAGTCCCTATCTTGTACGTAACCCGGGGACTGCCTGTATACAATATGACGGGGACTAATTTAGCTACAGCTACTCAAGAGAGAGTTCTTGAAGTCTTTGTGGATAGATCTCAGAAAACATCCACTCAGTGTGTAGTGGCTGATAATAATCAAATAGAATGTTAGGAATCATTAAAAAAGGGATAGAGAATAAGACAGAGAATATCTTCTTGCCTGTATGTAAAACTATTGTACGCCCACATCTTGAATATTCTGTACAGATGCGGTCGCCTCATCTCAAAAAAGGTATTTTGGCATTGGAAAAGGTTCAGAGAAGGGCAACAAAAATGATTAGGGGTTTGGAATTGGTCCCATTTGACGAGAGATTAAAAAGACGGACTTTTCAGCTTAGAAAAGAGGAGACTAAGGGGTATATGATAAAGGTCTATAAAATCACTGGTGTGGAAAAAGTGAATAAGGAAAAGTTATTTACTTATTCCCACAATATAAGAACTAAGGATGTTAAGGACTAGTCCACTATCTGATTAGGATTTGCTTAACTGATAGTCTGTCGACTAGTTGATTTCTCCCCCTTTGCTGCATCTATGAGAAAAAAGAAGCAAAGGCTGTGATTTAAAAAATGAACCGTGATTAATCGTGCTGTTAAACAAGAAGAGTCCAGTTGACCCCTGGCTCCCACAGTACTGCCCCTTTGAAATGCGCAGCGGCGTTTCAAAGGGGCAGTCCGAGCAGAGCCCAGGATCAGTTGTGCGGTGCTGCCCCTTTAAAATGCCGAAGCAGCATGGAGCCCGGGATCAGCTAAGAACTCCTCAGCTAACCCTGGGTTCTGAGCGGCATTTCCCCAGAACCCGGGGTCAGTTGATGGAAATTCCGAAACTGCACCATTGGTAACACAACCTTTACAGTGTAAGGTATTTCTCCATGATCTGAAGGGCAAGAAACTTTTATAAATATTTTTTAAAAGCTTAGATTGTTGCTAGTGAAGTTGATAGCATTTGTCATAGTCATCCAAGGGGGAGTTACATTTAGCTCAGCTGAAATTCTATTGACTACTTGACTAGTCAATTAACTGCAATTTAACATCCTTAATAAGAACTAGGGGTCACCAAATGAAATTAATAGGCAGCAGGTTTAAAACAAACAAAAGGAAGTTTTTCTTCATTCAGCACATAATCAACCTGTGGAACGCCTTGCTAGAGGATGTTGTGAAGACTAGGACATTAACAGGGTTAAAAAAAGAGCTAGATAGATTAATAGAGGTTAGGTCCATCAATGGCTATTAGCCAGGATGAGAAGGAATTGTGTCCCTAGCCTCTGTTTGTCTGGCACTGGATGACAGGACAGGGATCACATGATGATTACCTGTTGTGTTTCCTCCCTCTGGGGCATCTAGTATTGGTCACTGTTGGCAGACAGGATACTGGGCTAGATGGACTTTTGGTCTGACCCAGAATGGCCATTTCTTATGTTCTCATGTTTTTAACATTTTTGGTATAAGGTATAATTATTATATAAGTTGCCAATGATTTAGGTAACAGGCAAATAGTTCTTATACAAGTACAACACTAAATAAAAACATAAAAAATATATGAATGCAGCATTGAATACAAATCCAAGCTTAAATCAAATGCAGAAATGATACTAGAGTTAAATCATGAGATGGTAATAATTGATATTGCTAAAGG